ACACACACACACACACACACACACACACACACACACACACACACACACACACACACACACACACACACACACACACACACACACACACACACACACACACACACACACACACACACACACACACACACACACACACACACACACACACACACACACACACACACACACACACACACACACACACACACACACACACACACACACACACACACACACACACACACACACACACACACACACACACACACACACACACACACACACACACACACACACACACACACACACACACACACACACACACACACACACACACACACACACACACACACACACACACACACACACACACACACACACACACACACACACACACACACACACACACACACACACACACACACACACACACACACACACACACACACACACACACACACACACACACACACACACACACACACACACACACACACACACACACACACACACACACACACACACACACACACACACACACACACACACACACACACACACACACACACACACACACACACACACACACACACACACACACACACACACACACACACACACACACACACACACACACACACACACACACACACACACACACACACACACACACACACACACACACACACACACACACACACACACACACACACACACACACACACACACACACACACACACACACACACACACACACACACACACACACACACACACACACACACACACACACACACACACACACACACACACACACACACACACACACACACACACACACACACACACACACACACACACACACACACACACACACACACACACACACACACACACACACACACACACACACACACACACACACACACACACACACACACACACACACACACACACACACACACACACACACACACACACACACACACACACACACACACACACACACACACACACACACACACACACACACACACACACACACACACACACACACACACACACACACACACACACACACACACACACACACACACACACACACACACACACACACACACACACACACACACACACACACACACACACACACACACACACACACACACACACACACACACACACACACACACACACACACACACACACACACACACACACACACACACACACACACACACACACACACACACACACACACACACACACACACACACACACACACACACACACACACACACACACACACACACACACACACACACACACACACACACACACACACACACACACACACACACACACACACACACACACACACACACACACACACACACACACACACACACACACACACACACACACACACACACACACACACACACACACACACACACACACACACACACACACACACACACACACACACACACACACACACACACACACACACACACACACACACACACACACACACACACACACACACACACACACACACACACACACACACACACACACACACACACACACACACACACACACACACACACACACACACACACACACACACACACACACACACACACACACACACACACACACACACACACACACACACACACACACACACACACACACACACACACACACACACACACACACACACACACACACACACACACACACACACACACACACACACACACACACACACACACACACACACACACACACACACACACACACACACACACACACACACACACACACACACACACACACACACACACACACACACACACACACACACACACACACACACACACACACACACACACACACACACACACACACACACACACACACACACACACACACACACACACACACACACACACACACACACACACACACACACACACACACACACACACACACACACACACACACACACACACACACACACACACACACACACACACACACACACACACACACACACACACACACACACACACACACACACACACACACACACACACACACACACACACACACACACACACACACACACACACACACACACACACACACACACACACACACACACACACACACACACACACACACACACACACACACACACACACACACACACACACACACACACACACACACACACACACACACACACACACACACACACACACACACACACACACACACACACACACACACACACACACACACACACACACACACACACACACACACACACACACACACACACACACACACACACACACACACACACACACACACACACACACACACACACACACACACACACACACACACACACACACACACACACACACACACACACACACACACACACACACACACACACACACACACACACACACACACACACACACACACACACACACACACACACACACACACACACACACACACACACACACACACACACACACACACACACACACACACACACACACACACACACACACACACACACACACACACACACACACACACACACACACACACACACACACACACACACACACACACACACACACACACACACACACACACACACACACACACACACACACACACACACACACACACACACACACACACACACACACACACACACACACACACACACACACACACACACACACACACACACACACACACACACACACACACACACACACACACACACACACACACACACACACACACACACACACACACACACACACACACACACACACACACACACACACACACACACACACACACACACACACACACACACACACACACACACACACACACACAGTTACTCAAAATTATGTCCTTGATAACATATGTCAAGGTCAAAGTCATTGGGGTTGGGTCCTCTATTCGCTATATTTACCAAATTCTCTGACCAAAAAGGGACCACCGAACGAACTTCCGAAAAACAGTGTAATAGCAACCCAAACGGTCGTTTACCTGATTTTCGGACCGTCAAGTTTGTTCGACCCGATTTTAACGTAACCTCGAGACGTTTGACTTCAGGATCTTAAGGATAGTGGTTGCGCCCTTACGTCGACTCATCCTTCCTCGAGTCTGGACGTAACAATAATATTAGCTTATAATATTGTTACCTAATGATTATAATAGGGTAAATATGCATAAAAGGTTACACCTCACCGATTTTATTGACACTTAAATATGTTGTAGGGAAGGTTCTTTTGAATAATCCGCCGCAAGAAAAAAAAGTGGGGAAAGCATTCGTTTTGAAGATATGACAAATTAAAGTTTGACATTGAAGTTTGTGTATGCTGTAATAATCTGTTATTTTTTTTTTGAAAAAGGCTTACAACTTTAACGCGTGGGCGGGGGAGGAACCCCGCCTCTCTCTTTGTACCCCTACTCCGAAAAAATTCTACTCCAAAGCTACAATTTGGGTTATATAACGTAATCCAAACCAAATTTTAGTTTTAAATCAGAAATAGGTTTGGGTTAGGTTATATCTTCCAGAAGTGGAGCCACCCTGAAGGGGGGGGGGCGGAACTCACTGTGTCCACGCATATACTTTACAACGCGAAGTAATGTTCCACATGGGTTTACAATTTTCCACGCAAAGCGAGTTTCAACCCAAACCCATGTGTCTAGTTTTTTGGCAGTGGAGCCCTCCGCAGGGGGGCGGAACCCGTCCATGTATATACTTTACAACGCGAAGCGAGGTCCACCCCACAATTCTTGTGTAGATGGGAAAGTGTTGGCCTACCTATACCACATAATTGGCCACCACGATCACCGGACCTAACTGTTCCCGATTACTATTTGTGGGGAAGAGTAAAAAATCTGGTATACCGCGAACGTCCTACGACAAGAGATGATATGATTCGTAGAATACGTGACGCTATTCGTTCTCTAGATGCCGATGAAATTTTTCATGCTACAAATAATTTCGAGAAAAGAATACTTAATTGCATTGAAGCAAACGGTGGACATTTTGAACACCGTTCCTAATCACATCTAGCCATACATTCATTCACACACACGCACACGCACGCACGCACGCACGCACGCACGCACGCACGCACGCACGCACGCACGCACGCACGCACGCACGCACGCACGCACGCACGCACGCACGCACGCACGCACGCACGCACGCACGCACGCACGCACGCACGCACGCACGCACGCACGCACGCACGCACGCACGCACGCACACACACACACAAATTGCCAACTGCTAAAATATTTTTAAAAGTTTTTCATGAAATTATGATTTTTTTAACAACATATTGATATTAATATTAAGATCATAGAAAAGAGATATAAAAACGTAAACTTTTTTCACCATGTTTTTTCACTATATTTCACTTCTTTCGTTGCCTCTCTTTTCCTGCCTCTCCCTCTTTGTCTTTCTTTCCCTCTCTCTCGCCCACTCCCTTTTCCTCCCCTCCCCCTCCCTCTTTTTTTCAGAGAACTATCTTTCTCTTTTTTTTTCTTTCTCTAGCGCGTTTTTATTAATTTTCTGCTAGCTTCGACTACAGCTTCAAACAAACTCGCAGCACCAAATTCAAATCGACAGATTTTGTTACTTTTCAAGTATTTGAAGGAGAGAAGGCCATTTCTAAAATGGCATAAATTGAGTAAAAAGATGCACATATATATTTACAATATATCAATTGCTGCCATCATAATATTAATGTATTTGAAAAATACGCATTTCTTTGGTATTTTTTTCACAAGAAAAGAAATCTTTTTCAGATATTTTATTAATTATTTTCTAATTATTATGTAAAAATGTTTATTATATTTTTAAAAAATACTCTTTTTTTCATGATATAATAATAATAATAAATCTATTTTTGTTGGTTTTGATTATGATAAGGGAAAAAGTAGATTGTATTTATTTATACAACTTTATGCTGTGCATAATATAATGGAACCTCGTAATAGCGCTTAAGATCCTTTCTATATGTGCCAGACGATTAATGAGTACAGCTCCGTACAATGCATTATTACGAAGTTCCACTGTACTTATAAATATGTATAAGTACGTATGTATAAATACATCATTCTAACTAATACGGTAACCGTATATGTAAAAGATTTTAAAAAATATATTATTTTTATCACTTACTCTATTATTTCTTGATGTTTTTTAATGCATGATACGATATGAATCTCATTAGTAGCTTGCTCCACTTCGAAAGCCAATATCTCCAGTTTAGCTGTGGAGTAGAATAAAATAACAGCAATCATGATATCTACACCAAGGCAGAAGACAGTTTGTGCAATTATAAATATTTGCATAATGTAGAGAATAAATTTTCTTAATAGTGGTTCTGTCGAAAACGGATACCACACATCTGTGGGAAATTCTAGAGGTAGAAATAACGGAGCGCAAATAACGGTGACCCCTGCTATGATAAAAGATATCGCAACAGCCGAGATAAACATTGCATAACGGTCTATATATTTTTGTAGAATAATTTTTTCGCGATCTTCTGAGACTTCCACAAATTTTTCGATGCTCATCAGCAGACTCTAAAATAAATATTCATAACTCGAGATAGAATTACAATAAAATTTGAAATATACAGAGTGTTTCACCAAAAGTAACCATTCCCTTTTATCTTTTAAATTAAAAGAGACAGATCGTAACAAATATATACCAAATTAAATATTTTAAACTGAACTCTATTGTGAGCATAGTGGTTGCTTCCAAAAGTTATCTATGTTAACGAACGGAGAGATAATATTTTTATACCAATGTGAATATTTGGATATGATAATAGTTGTAGCGCTGTTTGAAACAAATATAATAATGTGTGATATAATATAAATATTTTACATATTATACGAGTTTTATCGACTTAAAATATCGCGGGCGGCATCTACTTTTTCACTTTCTGCCCTGTCTTGTAGCCAACCTCTGATTCGTGCATTAGAGATTGATATATGTCATGTTGTCATTTGATCATAAAATCCCCCGCACAATCGGGGCCTAATATTCACAATCAAAAATATAAGGAACTCCCTGTTCCTTATATTTTCGATTGTGCGGGAGATTTTATGATCAAATAACAACATTTCTCCAATATTTGTTCCCTACAAATATTAGAGATAAAGACTGACTTGACCTTTGTTAAAGTAACGTTCTTTTCAATTTTCCAGGTTATGTGACGTGTACAAGCTATGAAACCTATCGCTCATGTTTTTTTTTGTGCGTTGAACTGTTTCTTATTCCTCATTTTTTATTTTTAATCGCTAATATCTGTTCCTGTTTCTTATATTTTTGATTGTATGGGGGGCCTAATATTCAATCAAAAGTTGGCTATATTATAGCAGGGCCGAAAATGGAAAGGTAGATGTCGCCTGCGATATTTCAAGTTGATAAAACTCGTATAATATATAAAATATTTATACATTGTATTGGTTTCAAATAGCGCTACAACTTTTTTTCATGTCAAAATATTCACATTAGTATAAAAAGATTACGTATGCTCTCCGTTCGTTAACACAGGTAGCTTTTGGAAGCAACCACTATGCTCACAATAGAGTTCAATTTGAACTATTTAATTTGATATATATTTGTTACGGTCTATCTCTTTTAATCTAAAAGATAACAGGGGATGGTCACTTTTGATGGGACACCCTGTATAGTTGTGTATACGATATATACAATATACATATGTATACGTATATGTATTTGTGTGTATGCGCGCGCGCGTCTGCGGGTGTGTGCGTACATGTGTGTGTATGTGTGCGTGCATGTGTGTGCGTGTGTGTTTGCGCGCGCGCGCGCGCACGTACAAAGTGAGTGTTTTAAAACTTCGTGTATGTATTCTTGGATAAAAAGTATGATCAAATGTTCCTATGAACATTAGGCCAAAAACGCTTCGTTATCGAAATAATAGACACAAATGTTATCAAATAATGACTATATTTAAAAGCCCCAGGGAGGTATTTGTTTGTTTATAAGAGATGCTATGAAAGTGTTACTGTTATAGTTGACACTGTTATAGTAAATAAATAAATCAATATTAATTCTGTTTGGTTGAACTGCCTCAAGCATACTGACTTGATTGTAGGCAGTGATGCCAGATTCGGGACTCTGCAGCATGCCGTAGCGTGTAGAGGGGATACGCACACAAGCGTGAACCATGTATATGTAATGCACAGAACGCATTGCGCATTACATGTACACGGTTCACGCTTGTGTGCGTATCCCCTCTACACGCTGTGGCATGCTGCAGAGTCCCGAATCTGGCATCACTGATTGTAGGTACGTTGTCTCTTACTGTATTCAAATATAGAGGTCTACATTAAAACCCCCGTCCCTTTCTTTCAGTGGATCGTAGATCATCATAATAGCGTGTGCTGGTAAACAAATACTATTTCAGAATCAAAACACTAAAGACACAACTTTCCATCATGGAAGGAAAGAATCTAATCTAAAACTCAGTCATTATGAAATCTATTTGTGTTCATTATTTCGATAACGAAGCATTTTCTATGTGTTTAATGAATTTTGTGATGATTTTATCTTTCATAATTAATATCTAGTTTAAATATCTAATAATATTTTCTAAGAATAAATAATATGTTTGAATGATGAAGAGATAACACACACACATACGCGCATACGCATGCACATGCATGCACACACACGTGCATACACACGCACACGTATGTATATACATTTACCTGCAGTTGTTGTCTTTTAATTCTACACAAAATTGAATTGAAAATAGCTTCGGTTAAAGCTGCTATGTGAGACATGTTCTTCATTAATATACCGATATCATTTCGACATTTGTATGTCTTTATTATCATTGGTATCCATACTGTCATTAATATGAAAATAGCGAAATAGTAATAAAGATTGCGAAGAAGGACTTCATTTTTTTCGATATCCGGACGTGCCGGCCATGTGTTCGTAAAGGTTCCGAATATTCGGAGAATATAAAATATCCGTTCAAACTTTAGATGGATGATTGCCATATTAAGACATCAATGCTTATTACATAAAAAGTCCTGGATAACTGTAAAGCGTGATATTGCACATCAGAAAAACACTGCAAGATGAAAAGCGGCAGATTAAAGCGGAATAGTACAATCAATAATGCATTAATCATTTATAGACAAGTATCTGATCTTTTATGATAATGATACCTATGCCACGAACGGAAATAAAGTTGAAATACGTGCAATATGTAGTGCATACAAATGCTTGAATAATTGCAATAGATATCTATAGTGCTGCAATTTTTTTTTGTTTAGTTACTCTGTAATTTTATGGTAGCATATATGATAAAGGGAGAGTAAGATAATTGTAGTCCTTTATATATCATCATTTTTTGTTCAATGTTCAGTGATACTCAATGCGAACCAAGTTATTGGTTTGCTTTTCACTGACATCCAGGATTCAGTAATTACTATAAATTGTGCCAATCAGCCTTAAATAATGTTAAATACACAAAATGATTCAAAAAACGTATAAAACAACTGGAAACAAGATAACTTCTTATACAAAAATTAATAAGAAATGTAAAATAAAAGATTTTCTGTACAAGACTTTGTTTTCAAGAAATTTGGTTTTGGATCAATATTACATCCAAATCTGGAGAGATGGATTAACGGAAAAGTATAACAAGTATCCTGAAAACAAATGCTTTATGGCGTTTCAGGTCAACAAATTGTTACATCTGTAAAACAGGTCATCGACCAAAAGAATCGATGTTACGCGCTGTTTGTTTCAAACATTCTCTCGGTAGTCCATTTTTTGGTCAAAGAATTTAATCTCTATTATCTGGGATAAAACTTTTTGCGATCTTTCAAGGCGAGGAGTAAAATTAAATAAATTATTATATTTAATAAAAAAATATAAATATAAATAAATAAATTAAATTAAATAAATTATTATATTAA